CAGACTGTGGAGAGCTTGCCTTAAAACAGCTTCATTATCTTCGGCCAGTGGTAGTCCTTGAAAGATCGAAGTTTTCCACACCAATTTTAGACTTGTTTCCAACAAAAAAGACAGATGAGCTTTGTGTAGGAAGTTCCTAAATAACAATTTTGTTTCAGAAACAGACTGGCTCCATCACTGCAACATGGGGACAATTGCCAACATGAACAAAGGCTGAGAACCAGCCACACCGTTGTTTAGGGTAGAATAGGCTGTGTATTTACATGAATGTATAATATCTATGTCAGCAGTATTGGCTGAGTCCATTAGCTCTCCAGTTGGTTTATTGATTGGGTTTTTTGTTTGTTTGTTTATTAAAAAAAAAAAACGGAACTGTACTCTTGTTTGGTGCTAATTAATACATCAAAATATACTGGGGCTTCCTTTTTCAAATTAAGTGTGCATGATTGTATATGAAACAAATACTACGGTCCCAGGGTGGGAGGGCTAGGGAAAGGGATATGGAGTTCTTACTTGACTTGAATGTGCACCCAAGGGTGCTTTGTGTAATATATTGTACACTACAGCATCTTATATTTTTTGAGTTGAGTTTCAATAAATTACAATTTTTCACCCATTTCTGGTTTACTCATAATGAGTTTTCATGTCACATATAAACTGGAATTGCACTTGTGTTTCCTGGAATGTGCACTCATATTTTACTCCAGTAATTTTTTTTGTTAACCAGATCATCAGATCAAGGTTCTTTTTGAATGACCCTTGACTTTTTGTAGAAAATTCTGAGAGAGTAATTAGCTCTGGGATTCAAGATAGCTCCCAGAGGAAGAAGTTCAGAGGTTGACCAGTAGAAAGGAAAGAGTATGCTAAGCAGAATGTGAAGGGCACAGTAAATTCAAAGGCCTGTTTCCAGGGAATTACAAATAATTTGATATACTAGCAGTAAAAGGGCTGATACTTATTGTAGAGATAAGTAGGAACCTGTGAACATTGAAGAGTTTGGGCTTGAGTCTATAAGCAACTGAGAACCTTTGAAGGATGTTAAGTACACATTCAAATTAATTTATAGATGACTTGAAATTCAAGTGTGATTTGAAGTTCAAAGAACAGGATAGGAGGTAATATGACTGTTGAAGTAATCAGAAATTCTAGCAAAGGGAAGAGTAGATGAAACAAAATATGTAAAAAGACAAGATTGTTGGGACTTGAAGGGTGAAGAAAAGGATTTGAGAAAAACTTAAGATTTGGCAGTGATGAAACCAATAAGATGGGAATACAAAGAGATGAGTGGGTATTTGGGAAGAGCATGGAAAACTTGAGTTTGGTCATGTTGAGTTTTAGTGACACCAATAGAAGAAGCTCAGTTTCTGATCTCTTGACTAGAATGCTAGCCTGGAGGGACACTAATGAGAAAGAAAAACAGGTAAAAGGTATTGAAGTACCCAAAATACCACTTTTCCATAATTAAACTGAGTATTATTTATGAAAGTGAATGGTGAAACTAAAGTTCCAAGCATAGATGAAAGCCAGGTCATGCACATCACCTCATAAATCCAGTGCTGACATTTCTTCATTTAAGTATAGAAATGGAAAACTTGTGCATATTGTTTCTGACTAAGATGTAACCTGTGAAAAAGTCAAGTTTGCTTTCTTTGTAAAAGAAACATGAAAATCAGAAAGGTGGTTCCTTTCCACCCCCAAAATGATGCCTCCTGTCATCATACTACTGATTAATATGTAAGCTGTCATGTAGAAAGTCTGGCCTAGTGTGACCTACTTGGTCTACACCTTCAAGAATAAATATTTTTGACAGACTGCATTTGGAGGTCCGAACCCCTTTGAGAAAGAAAGGTAAATGGAATAGGCAGGAGATTATAAAACCTATAAATGAGGTTTAGGTTGTGACTCAGTGGTAGAGGGGCAAGATGAATAGCATGTTGAAGGTTACAGTCAATCCTTAGCATTGCAAAAAACGAAAAAACCCTGCAAACAAATATTTGGCAGATTTAGCTAGGAGGTGTAGAAAAAGGACTAGAGACCTAGGAAAGTTATATGAATAGTTAACAAGAAACCATGTATTTACTAAGCATATGCCATCTGCTAGCTTCTGATTGAGTATAGAACAGGGTGTAAGCTTCCTGTATCATACACATCAGACTCTAGTAGGGAAGCCTGATATTAAGCAAAATAATACAGATAATTAAAGTTGTACCATAAAAAAGCTAACATTGAGGGCTAGGGTTGTTGCTCAGTGGTAGGGCACTTGCCTAGCATGTGTGAGGCATTGGGTTTGATCCTCAGCACCACATTAAAAAATAATAAAGGTATTGTGCCATCCACAACTAAAAACAATTTTTTTAAAAAAAGCACCCCAAAGGGCTGGGATTGTGACTCAGCGGTATAGCACTCGCCTAGCACAGGCAGGACCCGGGTTCAATCCTCAGCACCACATAAAAATAAAGACATTGTGTTGTGTCCACCTTCACCTAAAAAAAAAAAAAAAAAGCACCCCAAGGGCTGGGATTGTGGCTCAGCAGTAGAATGCTCACCTAGCACATGAGAGGCCCTGGGTTCGATCCTCAGCACCACATAAAAATAAATAAAGATATTGTGTCCAACTACAACTAAAAAAAAAAAAAAAAAAATTTTTTTAAAAGCACCCTAAAATTGAGGACCAAAAAAAAAAAAAACAGCAAAATTTCCTTGAGAACATCGTATTTAGACAAACGAAGAATCAATATCTATTGATGGATAGCCAGGTAATGTAAAGGTAATCCTCTTAGCAAAGTGACACATGCCTCTAATCCTAGTTATTCAGGGCTGGTTGAGCCAGGTGGATCACAAGTTCACTGCCAGCATAGGCAATTTAGACCCTGTCTCAAAGGACTGGAGCTCAGTTGTAGTATATTGCTAGGTTCAATCCTGGAGCGGTGGTGGGTTTGTGGTGCAACAGCTTTGACTGTTAGAGGCATTAACAAGAATACTATGACTGTAGTTGGAAGAATAAATGGGAGAGGCAAAGGAGAGAAGTTTGGATAGCTAAATAGAAAAAAGAAATTTTAGTGTCCTATAGCCATGTTCTTTTTTTTTTTTTAAAGAGAGAGAATTTCAATATTTTTCAGTTTTTGGCGGACACAACATCTTTGTTTGTATGTGGTGCTGAGGATTGAACCCGGGCCGCACGCATGCCAGGCGAGCGTGCTACCACTTGAGCCACATCCCCAGCCCCTAGCCATGTTCTTCATAGGATTTTATTTGAAAGGCAGTGAAGAACCTATTGAAGGCTTGAAAGTAGCTGTTAAGTTAGGAAGGTGTGATATTAAAGACTGCTGAGTGGTGCATGGGTGGATGACACTCTAGGGGTGTGCTGAGATGCCTGCATAGATGGTGTTTAAGTTTATTGTTAAATGTGTTCATGTGTTGAAAAGAAATCAAAAACTTAATGATTTTTTTGAGCCAGATTTTCTTTGAGGCACCTTATGCTTTGGAGACTTACCATACCTTTTATTTAGTCATAAATGTTACAGTAATAGTAGCCCTTACCTATATGTGTGACATGGTTCTTTTCACACAAGTTATATAATCCTTTTTACAGGCTCTGCAAGATAGGAATTATTGTCACTTTGCAAATGAAGATATTGAGGCTTAGGTTACATAACTTGCCCAAGTAAGCAAAAAGAGAAAAAGAGCTAAAATTCAAACCCAGATCCATTATACTTCAAAGGCACGGGGTGGGAGGGCATTGCTGGGGATTAGGCAAGCATTCCACCACTGAGCATCCTCAGTTCCCAAGGCTTATCTTAACAGCTACTCTGTAATGCTTCTGTCTAAACAAATAGTAAAATACATTAATAACCACTTGATGAATGAACAGTTTTTCCTATAAATATATTTGCAAAAATGTTCAAGTGGGCTGGAGCTGTAGCTCAGTGATAGAGCACTTGCCTAGCACATCTGAGTCATTGGGTTTGTCTTCACCACATATAAATAAATAAAGGGATTGTGTACATCTACAACTAAAAATATATTTTTTAAATGTTCAAATGCCTATTATGTGCCAAGCACTAGGGATACATTAGTCAATAAAGTGGATATATGGTTGGTTCCTGTGTTGGATTGACAATAGTCAGGGAAAACAGATGTTAAGCCCCAAATTGCACAAATGGATATAGGTGTGCTGGAAGTATAAGGTGCTTATCTAATCTAATATAGGGAGTCTTGTGAAATATTTCAGTTATCATAATCCTATCTTTATTCAAAAAGTTTCTGGATACCATTCTTTAATAGTTTTTGAACTGCTGGTGGGCTGTGGGTTTAACATTAATAGCAGTCATTCCTAAATCAGTCAATCATTTCTTTCTGACAAGCACTCCATCTCCAACAGCATCCTAGACACCTTTTTCTGATGCACCTCTGCTGACTCAAGCAACTTCCATGGCTCCTTTTATTCCTGCAGGTACAGAATGGAGTGGTTCCCTCTCCATGAGGCTCTTCTATTCCTGTTCTTTCTCTCAGCTAGAATGAACACATTAAAGCCTGTGGTATCTAGTTCTCCAACTCATGTATCAGATAATATTTTTTTAAATTTGTCATAACATCCTTTTTCATTTATTGTGCCCCTCCTCTCATTGCAAACTTTTCTGAATTCTGTCTTTATAATCTGATCTAACAATTTAGATGATATTTACTTGTGAATTGTTTTTTCATGAAAGTTTTTTGGGAACAGGACATCCACTTAATATCTTCCCACCATCTTGCTGAGTTGTTAGGTACTAGTCAATAAATCATTGATTTGATAACCCATCATGCAGGTTACAGTGTAGCAAGCAATTGCTTACAAAATATTTTATAAAATTATGCCATTTGTTCCTAATAAAAATCTTGTGAAGGTGGGATCCCTCATCTGTAAATAGGTATGCAAATGAGTCTCAAATATATGAAAACCCTTCTTAAAAATCACAATTTCTAAATTATAGTGATCTGGGGCTGGGGATGTGGCTCAAGCGGTAGCGCGCTCGCTTGGCATGCGTGCGGCCCGGGTTCGATCCTCAGCACCACATGCAGACAAAGATGTTGTGTCTGCCAAATACTAAAAAATAAATATTAAATGAAAAAAAAAAAAAAAGAAAGTCTTTGATTCTATATAGCCCAGTATGCAACTAGCCATTTTCAAAAAAAAAAATAATAAATAAATAAATAAATTATAGTGACTTGAAAAGAATGAAAAGCTACAAAATGATCCAGTAGTAACTGCCTTCCACATTTACAAAGTAAACTACTCACTTTTAAAGAAAGCCCTTTCTAAATCCTATCTTCTCAAATTTCCAGTTTTCTCACATCATGTGAGAAATAACTGCCATTCATTTCAAGGAATTGTTGGAAATGTTCTCCATCTACACTGTCCAAGAGAGTAGCCATGAGCTCCATGTGACAATTTAAATTTAATTAAAATTAAAATATAAGATTTAGTTCCTTTGCAACACAACCCACATTTATGTATGTGTTTATGCACTGGGATTCAACCCAGGGCTTTTTACTACTCAGCCACATTCCCAGTATTTTTTGTTTATTTTGAGACAGACTCTCACTAAGTTGCTGAGGTGGGCTTAGAATTTATAGTCCTCCTGCCTCAACCTGGAGAATGACCAGGGTTACAGTCCCTAATGTATGCCACCACACCTGGCCACTACCCATATTTGAAGTGAAGGGTGGCTACCACATTGGACAAGGCAAATATAAAATATTTCCATCACTGCAGAAAATTATATCCAAGAGTGCTGCGACTAGCCAAAGATGAAAGGAAGCGATAGAATAAACTGAAAACACAGGCTAGTGCCTGATTTTGAGTGAGAAGGATCTGACCTTTGGAACAGTGACATCACAAAGCACAGCTCACAATGACTCCAGAACATTTGGGCTCCCAGATCACTCTCCCTAACTCAGTCTAAATTCCTGAAGCCTCTGCACATGTAGTTCCTGAAGCTGTATTAAAATGACACCATCTTCACCTTCATCTTCTACTTGGGACAACCTCTTAGATTCTCTCTCTCTCGGCACAATATGGAATTGGCTACAAGCAACTTTTCTGGGAGAGACCAATGTGCCTCAGCAAACAAATTTGGGGCTACTAGAAAATCTTGCTCCGGCTGTGCAAATCGCCCTGAGGATTTGCTTTTTAATTTTGTTGGCAGTAGGATTAATTGTCTTATGGAAACGAAGTGTTCGGTCAATTCAGGTTGTACTCTTTTGTTACAGAGAAATTTAAATAGTTATAAATTGAATTTTGATTGTTTCTCCCATGTTGCTGCCACCTAGCTTTATTTAAGACCATGTAGACGATCAAGTGTGAACCCATGTATCAAGATGGTAGAAACTAAGTTATCCTGGAAAATCTCCACCTCTGGGTTTTGAACATAAAATGTTCTTTTCTTACAATGATCTTTTGCTTGTCTGCTGTCATAAAATAGACCAAACAAATTCATAAACTTATTTGATCACTTATTTATCTTTGAGTGCCTACTATGTTATAGAATAAACATTGTAGGATAACCAGGATCTTGGGTATTTCTGTTCTTACTATGACAGTGCTCTTTAACTGATAAGGAAGTATATAAAGTCATCACAATGTTTTTTATTATTCTGTTTTAACAAGATAAGCCTCCATCCATATATAGGGGCTCTTTGAGGGAATAGGAATTTAACTAGCTGGGATTGTGAGAAACATTCAGGATTTTACATTCTTCTGTTTAATAATTTCTTGTTAATAATAAAGTGTTTTGGGAATCCCAATAGTTAATATGAAATGGATAGAGGTTATTTTCACATGACAAATGAGGAAACTAAAGTGCATTGATGTTCAATAGAAGTAAAAGGAGACGGGATTTAAAGAGGACTTTAAAAAAAAATGTTTTTGTAGTTGTAGATGGACAGCATGCCTTTATTTTATTATTTTTATGCAGTGCTAAGGATCAAACCCAGTGCCTCATATGTGCTAGGCAAGTGCTGTATCACTGAGCTCAGCCCCAGCCCTACAGAGGACTTTCTTAAATAGTGGTTTACTTGATAAATACAGAAGTTTTTACGGGATAATTTTGTAGCATTCACTTTATTTGCAGTACTGGGGATTGAATCCAAGGACATTCTACCACTGAGCTACATCTCCAGCCCTATTTCTCTTCATCATCTATATAGGATATATATATATATATAATCTGGCCAAGTTGTCAAGGCTTGCCCAAAACTTGAAATCTTCCTGCCTCAGCCTCTAGAGTAGCTGGGATTTACAAATGTGCACCAATAGGTCCAGCAACCTCTCAAAACCCTGCATGGTAGCCAGGCCAGGGATTATCACCTCCATTTTGTAGGTGATGTAACTTGGTTATCACCTGCTCAAGTTCATGTCATTAGAGCTGACAAAACTGAGATTTGAACCCAATTTTTAGGATTCCAAATTAAGTTCTCCAAAATGTCATTGAATGCAATCCAACTGACTTTCAACAGAAGAGAGTATATGTGTACACACATATTCAGTTAGTTAATAGAAGAACCAAATAAGAAAACAAACTTACTGGGCACAGTGGTGTGTACTGATAATCCCACAACTCCAGAGGCTGAGGCAGGAGGATTGTAAATTTGCAAGTTCAAGGCTAGCCTCAAAAACTTAATAGAGAGACACTGCCTCAAAAAAATAAAAGGGGGTGGGGATGTGATAAAGCACCCCTGGGTTCAACTGGAAGGAAGGGAGGGAAGGAGCAAAAGGAAACAAACTCTAATTCTGGGTTTAGCTCAGTCTGAAAGAGGATCTTGCAGGTCTTCAGACACCTCAGCCATTTTTTTTTTTTTTTTTTTTTTTAAGCAGTGGGGTAGTAATGGTATTACAGAGTAGTTAATGTTGTGGCTCTGGACTCAGACTGCTTAGGCCTCAGTTTCTATTGAATCACTTGTTCTGTAACCTGAGAGTAATCACTTAACCTCTAAGCACCTTTTTCCTTAACTAGCAGTACTTCCCTCATAGGATTGTTGTGCAGATTAAAGCTTAGCATATGCAATATTCAATAAGCAGGGCTAGTTATTTTAACAACAACAAAAAAAAAAGTGATTGATTTTATTCCCATCCCAGCAGGAATCTGTCTTAGCATATTAAAACAAACTTATGACCAGGAAATCTAGCTTTTCAGACCACTATACTTGGAAGTGAAAATTCCTGGATTAATTTAGTCCTGGTTTTATACTGTTTCCAATATGGACCTTGAACAATGAAAGGGTCTAAATTTGAAGATATCTAAATAGTTATCCAGGGTTTTTTTCTGCATAAATATAGGTCATGCATAGGCAAAGTGACTTCTAGCACAGAGTCTGGCATGTGGCAAATTTCAGCAAGTTAATAACATTGCTTACTACATATAATATTTTTTTGATACCTGGGGATTGAACCCAGGGCCTCACATGTGCTACTCAAGCTACCTACTGAACTACATCCCTAGCCCTTTTTATTTACTTTGGTACTAGAGATTAAATCCTGGGTGCTTACCCACTGAGCCACATTCTCAGTCCTTTATTTTTTATTTTGAGACAGGTTCTCTCTAAATTGCTTAGGCCCTCACTAAATTGCTGAGGCTGGCCTTGAACTTGTAACCCTCCTGCCTAGGCCTCCCAAGTAGTTGGGATTATAGGTGTGTACCACTGTACCTGGTTTATTAATCTTCATTAAATAAATGCAAAAATACTTCCAAAATATAGTGGTCTGAAAAACTGCCTACCGCTTCAATTTGTAGTAATATTCAAAAGATTAAATAGATGTGAAAATGTTTTGTTAAATGAAAGTTCTGGCATAGGAATGAGGTATAACTGTTACTATTAGACCTTTTGTATTTATAGTAAACTGGCATTTGACATGAGTGAACAAATAACACTCAAATTCTGTTGTTTTGTTTTAGAAAATATTGCTGTTTATAATCACACTCTACCAACTTTACAAGAAGGGCTCAGATTTTTTTCAGGCTTTGCTAGCCAACCCAGAAGGGAATGGTCAGAATCAAAACAGTAGTAATTTCTTCCTGTCCTTGGGTCTGCAAGAAAAAATTCTGAAAAAACTTCAGATGGTGGAAAACAAAGTGAAGGACCTGGAAGGGATGATCCTTGCCCAAAAACCTGCCACGAGGAGGGATTGCTCCTCTGAGCCCTACTGCAGCTGCTCTGACTGCCAGAGTCCCTTGCCCACATCAGGGTTTACCTCCACATCTGAAATGTGATGAACTCCAGTTTTTTTTCCAGAAAAACACTGTTTCCCTCATGTGTGCAGTGGTGTTATTAATAAAGATAGAGAACTATATTGAAATTATCCTGCAAGGATTGGCTCTTTATTCAGTAGGGCCCATCTTCTACTTGTGTGTGTCGTGGGGGAAGATGGAATATAGAGATAGTTAAAAATGTCTCTAGGGATGAGGCTTCAAGGTAGAATGCTTGCCTACCATGCACAAGACTCTAGGGTCAGTTTCCAGTGGGGATAGGTGGAATCTGGGATTGTAGTGCTCACTTGTCAGACTGAAGACCATAAGCAGCTAAGTAGGAAAGGAATGGAAGTGGATGAGAAAAGAAGGGAGGGTGGTCAGAGCTACTGCCTTAGGATCCATGCTGAAGAGGTGTGACCAGAGGTATTGAAAGGAAAGTGCTGTGCTGTGGACTGTGCCATAGATATAGGCTGGCCTGTGCTGGTCCTTTGCATAAGAAAAATATGCAGCCCAGGGCATTCCTGCATTAATTACTCAAATGTGAGTGTTTTAGTCATTTTTTTTTTCTGTTCTAACTAAAAGACCTGACAAGAATAATTTTAGGCTGGGCACAGTGGTACACACCTGTAATCCCAGCGGCTCAGGAGGCTGAGGCAGGAGAATCAAAGTTCAAAGCCAGTCTCAGCAAAAGTGAGGGGCTAAGCAACTCAGTGAGAACCCTATCTTTAAATAAAATACAGAATAGGGCTGGGGATGTGGCTCAGTGTTTGAGTGCTCCTGGATTCAATCCCCTATACCAAAAAAAAAAAAAAATAGAGGAGGAAAAGTTAGTTTATTTGGGGTCTCATGGTTTCAAAGGTATCAGTCCATAGACAGCCAATTCCATTGTGTCCATCTACAACTAAAAATTTTTTTTTTTTTTAATATTCGGGGCTGGGGATGTGGCTCAAGCGGTAGCGCGCTTGCCTGGCCTGCGTGTGGCCTGGGTTCGATCCTCAGCACCACATGCAAACAAAGATGTTGTGTCTGCCAAAAACTAAAAAATAAATATTAAAGTTCTGTCTCTCTCTCTTTAATAAAAATAAAATAAATAAATATTTTATTTACATTTTAGTTTTCGGCGGACACAACATCTTTGTATGTGGTGCTGAGGATCGAACCCGGGCCCCACGCATGCCAGGCAAGCGCGCTACTGCTTAAGCCACATCCCCAGCCCTAAAAATATTTTTTTTAAAAAGTGATTTGTTGCCATGTTGGAGAAAAACTGACTCTGCTGAATAACAAGAGAACAATATAGCTGTCTCCTAGGTTGTCCCTTCCTAAAGGATTTCCGAGGATAATTTTGACCATAATTCCTGCCTAGTGCACTGGTGTTAAAATGCAACCACTGCAGGGTGGGGCCAGAAAAGGATTTGCAGAGGAAGTGATATTGAGTTGTCTAGTAAAGGATTAAATAGGCGATGAACAGAAAATATTCTTCCTGGGAATCATTATTGGTGTATATAAGAAAATAGGAGGGGCTGGGGATGTGGCTCAAGTGGTAGCGCGCTAGCCTGGCATGCGTGCGGCCCGGGTTCAATCCTCAGCACCACATACAAACAAAGATGTTGTGTCCGCCGATAACTAAAAAAATAAATATTAAAATTAAAAAAAAAAAAAAGGATGGCTCAATTAAGAAACAAGGAGAATTTTAGACTGATGCACTGGCTATTTTCAGAGTTATAATTATGAATTCTGGGTTCAGGGAAAAATTCTAACCTCACCTTCAAATCAACTTTAATTCATGATATGGTGAACAGAACAGATGGGAGTTGACAACATGCATTATCCAACAGTTTGGGTGAGAAGTTTCTTATTATGCTGCTGCTGGAGTGTCATGCTAATCTCTGAGAGTCAGTCTCAATTGTCTAAATTCCATTCCAAACCTCTTGTCTTGATTACCCCTCTGGGGTATATAAAAGGAAAGTATTAGAAAAAGGGCCTTGAATAGTAAGTAGACTAATGTCAGTAATGAAGGACCTTTAAGGTCATATCTTACTGAGGTAGAATGAAAGGAATAAAGATAGGCAGAAAGAAGACAAAGGGGAAAGAAAGAGACAGTAGCTGTAAATCTAAAAGCCCCATGGTCAGATTTACTCCCCAGATTTGTTTTTTTCTCCAGGTTTATCAGTCCCAAATTTCTGAGAGATCTACAAATCTTAGAGTTATTGTTAGTTAATTAATCTATGAAAATTGCCTCATTTTGATCAAAGTTTAAGTACACTGTTAGCCTACACAATGTGTTTTTGGATTAGATAAAGCATAGGGAGATGTATTTAAAGAAACCAATAATATAGACACATTCCAAACATCATCCAGATAGAAGAGATAATGTCAGTCTGAAGATCCTGGAAGATCAGACCACCATCAACTTCTAGAGATCTGCAATCAAAGAACTGAGTTCACTAGGCTGATGTTGCTATCCCACACCTTCCTATGCCACCCATCACAAAGTATCCTTTAAAAGAGACTTCAAAAGCACTTCTAACTCTAGAGATAGCCTGAATTCTGCTCTGAGAATGTGTATCTTCACCTTTCACTTTCTAATAAACTCCTCCTCTTTGTTAAAATCTGACAAATCCTTAAATTATTTTCTGTAAAATGTCTAGAGCCTGGAAGGTTGAAATAGAGGTCTTGTCTCCTCTTCCTCTGGAAAGACCCTATGATGAAAGTACAGTTTGGGTTTTTTTTTTTTGTTGTTGTTGTTGTTTTTTTTTTTTAAGAGAGAAAGAGAATTTTAATATTTTAGTTTCTGGTGGACACAACATCTTTGTTTGTATGTGGTGCTGAGGATCGAACCCGGGCCGCACGCATGCCAGGCGAGCGCGCTACCGCTTGAGCCACATCCCCAGCCCCTCTGTTGGAACTTTCTATAAGTGACACATAATTATTCACTTTCTGAAATTCACTTATCTATCCACTGCTACCTCTCTGGACTCTCACTTGGATTCTATTGTGTGTGTGTGTGTGTGTGGTGGTGGTGGTGGTGCTGGGGATTGAGCCCAGGCCTTGGACATACTAAGCACAGATTCTGAGTTTCATTAACATTTCTTTAGAATGTGCTCTGGACCTTCGGAACATTAATATTTCAATTTTCTGAGCTATACTTTCAGACCTCACCTGGGTTCTTGAAATGGGCTCCTAATTGGACCACTGCTTTGATCTGGATCTGTGTCCTTATTACATTTACCCTTCACACAGTAGTCAGAGGAATCATCATTTCTCAAAACTCTCCAATGGCTTATTCTTTCATTCTGAGTAAACATCAGGGTTCTAACTAGGAGGTTGTGGATGATGCCAGTGAAGCCAGATTTATTTATTTATTTATTTTTTAGTTTTCGGCGGACACAACATCTTTGTTTGTATGGTGCTGAGGGCCGCACACATGCCAGGCGAGCGCGCTACCACTTGAGCCACATCCCCAGCCCCGAAGCCAGATTTAAAGATAGGTAGTGTAGTTAGGTAAATCGGGTCTAATATTGAGTAAAATCGAAAATGAAGGCCATGTTGAGAATGGAGCCTGGGAAAGCAGAGCAGCACTTGGAAAATTGAAATATTAATGATCCCAAGGTCCAGAGCACATTCTAAAGAAATGTTAATGAAACAGCTCCAGCAAAGAGGGAGATGCTAATCAAAAGCGCCTCCAGGCCCTTCCTGCCCAAGATTACTCCTCAGGCCCATCTGCCCCTCACCTTTTGGGTCTCCCCACCTACATTCTATCACTGCAAGATAACAACAAAGGACAGGAACCTGATAGAAATGCGGGAAAGCTGAAAGAAGACCTTAGCTATAAAAGAGGGACGACCTCACCCTTCCAGGGATTCCACCTCTTGGGTCCTTTTCTTCATCCGGGGAGAAGACTTTTCTGCTGTCCTTTAATAAAGCTTCTACTTTCCACTCTAAACTTGCCTTGGCGTGCTTCTCTGGTGTTATACTTCAGCATTGCAGAAGCAAGGACTCTTTCAGCGGTAACATCAGGATCTGCATTTCCCTTTCTCCTTACTCTTTCTTACCTTCTTACCAGTCCCCAGGTGGGTTAAGCATTGTCCAACCTCAGGGTCTTTACACTGTTCACTCTGATTGACATTTTCCCCAGTTACCCACTTTTTTTTGGGGGGGGGTCTGAGATCAACTGTTGGCTAATCTTAAAGGCCTTCCTTGACCATCTTATGTAAACTAGTGCCCCTCACACCAATACACTCTATTCCCTTTTCTCTGCTTTTTCTTCATAGCACTTATCACCACCTCCACTTTTACTGTGATATATTTGCTTATCATCTCTCACTCCATCCACCCCAGCCCACTAAGAATATAAGTTCCAGGAAAGGATGGGCTTTGTTTGGTTCACACTCACACTTAGCAGTGTCTGGTATTTTGCAGATATTTTTCTTGAATGAATGAACTGCAGTCAGTTTTGGCTTTGAAACTTCACACCATCTTCTGGTTCCTCTCTCTTCAAACACAGGGACAGATCACTGATGCCATTTTCCCAAGCATGAAGAGCTAGTAGCTAGCCTTTACTGGGTACTTATTTGGTCATGTACATTGCTTAGAGCTTTACATGAATTTTCTTATTTGATCCTAACAATGAAGGAGGTAAGTACTCTCTCACTGTACTGATGAGCAACTGATGCACAGAGGGTAAATAACTTACTAATCATGGTTATGACTGGCACTCAAGCAGCTTTAGTCTAAACTTGTGCTGTTTGTCAAAAGTTTGAGTGACAGAAGTTTCAGTGAGGCTTTGGACTCACGGATAAGTAAGGACAAGAAAAGTAAGAGGGCATAATAATGATGACCTTAGAAGAGAATATTTTGAAGGTGTTTATCCTTCCATCTAAAAGTTTTCAATGTAAGTTTAAATAGTTGCAATGTAAATTCTAGCAAATTAAAAACACTGACAATTAAAAACCGTGAAATCACTTTTTATAATACATCCAACAGAAAGTATATAACAATTGAATAAACACCCTCATCCATTAAAAAAATACATAAATGAGCTTTCAACATCATTCTCCCCACCCTACCCCAGTAGGCACAGAATTTTATTTAGAAAAGCAAGGGGAGAATGCAGGCCATTCCAAGAGTAAGAGACATCCTTTGGGGTAAAGTAAGAAATACACATTCGGGGGAGAATTAATCTTGAGTCAGAACCTTTGGGGTGAGAAAAGTAATAAACATTCAAAGGAGAATGTGACCCCTCTCTAGCAGGCAAGACAGTCTTAGCATTGCTCCTTTATCATCTCTAACTTATATTTAGGTTCTTTTCCCCCAAGTTATCCAAATGTAATTAATGTTTGAAAAACGTTTTATTGATCACTTCTTTACAATAAAAATATGTTTGAAAGTAAAAGTTTTAACAATTCCCTATAACTTATGGTTCTAGGTATTAGAAAGAATTCTGGGGCTGGGGATATGGCTCAAGCGGTAGCGCGCTCGCCTGGTTTGCGTGCGGCACGGGTTCGATCCTCAGCACCACATACAAACAAAGATGTTGTGCCCGCAGATAACTAAAAAAAAAATAAATAAATGTTAGAATTCTCTCTCTCTCTCTCTTTAAAAAAAAATAATAAAAGAAAAAAGAAAGAATTCTGAATTATTGCAATTTAGTATATAGCTAGTCAAAACAACACAATTACAAATTTTGATAATATAGAAATATAAGTGGTATAATTCTATTGAGAAAGCATTTCTTATGTCTGGGGATGAAGCTCAGTTGGTAGAGGGCTTGCATAACATGTATAAAGCCCTAAAATAGATGGGGCTTTCCTATCAATTAATTCATGCACCTAGGTGAGTATTTCTTACTGCTAAATCAACAGGGGTCAGTTTCAATTCCATTCCTTTTTTGTTTTAATAAACACAAGGCTAAGAAATATTCAAATAAATAAGAATATGAAAATGCTAGTAGTTTTGTTTTAGTAATGTCAATCAATTTTGGGGCTTTTTTCTGAGTTATAGTTCCAAAATTAAAAGTGATCTTTCATCAGCTAACAATTCAATTAGGTCAGCCATTAATTTTGCTGTAAATAAAGAACTGGAAAACATCTGACTTGCAAAATAATTTGTTATCTTATTATTATAACCATTTGCTTTTTTTTTGTTGTTTGTTTAAATTCTAGACAGAGCCTTCCTAAATTGCTGAGTCTGGCCCTGAACTTGTGATGATCCTGCCTCAGCCTCCAGAGTCGCAGTATCACTAATTTAAATAGATTTAGTTAAATTTATTGTTTAAAAAAATTAGGCAACTTAGCAACACCAGTCTATAGAACCAATTAACCAAATTAGATTTACTTTTGGTCAGAAAAATTCGGTTTTCAAGTAAAATAAATGTGTTGACAGGTGTCGCAGTGACACATTTCACTTCTGAATTCCAAGACAGAAATGGCACTAAGACTTGATCAGAGTTTGTCCCCTAGATAAAGACAGGACTTTCATTTCAGGTATTTCTAACCTACCCTATTCTTGCCTTACCCCAGGGCACACTTGGGCAAAATGCCACTTCCAGGTACACTTAGGGTGGATGAGATAAGGTCTGCAAGTGAAATTCTCATTGCTACCGTCATTCTCATCTAATACACTTGAAGTCAGAACACGCCAATACAAGCCAAAACACTCCATGTGCAATGCCTCGCCTAGTTCTTCCGGTATCCCAGGGATGCACCTACCGCAGCTGGACAGCACGAGCCAACAGCAAAGATTTTGACAGCCTGGGACGCCTACTAAACTCGCCCATTCTTCCCAGCCACCTCTGGGCGCCGATGGCGGCCCACTGGGTCGGCGACCGCTAAACCCAGAATTTCTGTCAGCTCGTCCCAGCCCGGGAAAGCACAGAATATGCCGCAGCCCATTCTGGGCAACCAAGGCCCCAAAACCTAAAGGAATTGCCACTTGAGAGGTTAGAAAGCCCCGCCCCCGGCCGCGCTACAAAGCCCAGGAAGAAAGCCAGAACCCTGGGCAGGAACCCAATGTCGAGGGGCGGGGGATGGATGTTGGTGCAACGCAAGCTCAGCCAGGGCCGGAACTCAGCGTCTGGGCTCCCTCCCCGCTTTGGGCCGGAAATGAGGAAGGTGGGGCTGGTCATTTCGTATGAGAAACTAGAAGTCCCCAGCGGGTGGAGGCAAGAGGAGGAGTGCTTTTGCGACACTGCCGGCAGCGCGGAGGGGCTGGTATGGGGGCGGGTGTCTGTGTAGAGACACTCGGAAGGGACCTATATCGCTGTGGCACCGCGGGGACTCTTTGAGAGGACGGGTGTCAGTGTGGCACCGGTGCACGCTGAAGGAGCCGGTGGAACCGGGTGGCCATGGGGATGTCGGCGTCGCTGGACGCCATGTGGGAGATGCCCGCCGAGAAGCGTATCTTCGGGGCGGTGTTGCTCTTTTCCTGGACAGTGTATCTTTGGGAGACCTTCCTAGCACAGCGGCAGGTGAGCCTAGACAGGGCCCACCTGAACTCAACACCCGCCAGCCCTAGGCCAGGCTCGGAATGGACCCTAAGTCCTAGATGTTTGCTCGGGTCCCAGCACCAGTTTCAACTCCGTAACCCTTGCTGGGCCTTCTAACTTGGCCCTATGGCGGACTTGGCTTTTAGGGGTTCTTGGTACCTCAGGGAAGTTTTTCGTGAGACCCTAGGGCCTTAAGAAAGGAAAAGGTAGCCCCCTCAAGTTTGAGCTTATGCCTGCCCTACAGCCTCTTTGGTTCTTTGGGTCCAGACCCAGGCTCCTTTATCTTTGATGTAAGCCTTCAAAAGGAAGCTGCTGACATGTTCGAATCACAACTTCCCCATGATATTCGTGTTATCCTGCTCAACCACAGGATTAGGAAACCATTTTCTGAAAATAAAGATGTTGCAATTCTTCCAAGGACTGACACTCTCTTTTTTCTTTTTGATAAATTTTTCATATTTTTTTCTTTAGTTGTAGGTGGACACAGTACATTTATTTTTATATGATGCTGAGGATGGAACCCAGTGCCTCACGCGTGCCAGTTGAGCGCTCTACCACAAAGCCACAACCCCCTGCCCATCCTTTTTTCTTTTTTTTTTTTTTAATAAATATTTTATTTTTTAGTTGTAGATGGACACAATATTTTATTTGTATGTGGTGTTGAGGATCGAACCCAGGGCATCGCTCGTGCTAGGCGAATGCTCTACCTCTGAGCCACAACCCCATCCCCCTTTTTTCTTTTTAATCTCCTTAAAGTACATATGTTTTTGCCAAAAAAGTATTATATTTACATTATTTTCGTTAAAAAAATTTTTAAATAGTATCCTAGCGGCACACACCTTTGGCCCCAGCTACTCTGGAGGTGGAGGCAGGAAGAGCAAAACTTGGAGGCCACCATGGGCAATTATTTATTATGAATCTGTCTCAAAATTTTAGAGGGTTGGGGGAGCGGTAATCCCAGCAACTGGACCGTCTTTAAAAAATAAAAAGAGCTGGGGATGAAGCTCAGGGGCAAAGCTTCCCTGGGTTCATTTCCCTGTAACAAATAAAAAATGTGAGGTGGGGATGGGGTTTGAAGATGTAGCTCACCGGTTGAGCACTTGACTAGAATGCCTCAGTCCGTGGGTTCAATCTCCAGCACTGGTGGGTGGGGAGGGGGGGAGTAGAAGGCAAAAGTTACTTAATAACAGCTCTCTAAAGATAATCCTAATATAATAGCTTGAAAAATTAGAGATCTGAACTTTTTCCCCCAGTACTGGGGATTGAACCCTGTAACTCTTAAGATTGAGTTACATCCCCAGCACTTAAAAAAAAAAAAAATTGAGACAGGGTCTTGCTAAGTTGCTGAGGCTGGCCTGGAACTTTGGATCTTCCTGCTTCAGCCTCCTGAGTAGCTGGGATTACAGGCATGGATCACCTCACCTGACTGAGATGTGAATTTTTAGTACTGGGGATTGATCCCAGGGATGCTTTACCATTGAGTTACATCCCCAGTCCTTTTTATTTTTTATTTGAGAGAGGGTCTTGCTACATTGCCCAGACTGGCCTTGAATTTGTGATCCTCCTGCCTTAGCTTCTTGAGTTCCTGGGATTACAGGCATGTACCACTGTGTGTGACTAGATCAGAACTTTTAAATGAGTTTAAATGTTTAAATGAGTTTAAATAATTGACATTTTATTGCAGTCTTTCACCGTTGGTTGCTTTATTTAGAATCTTCTGTGTTGTCACTGATGATGGTTGTAAAAACCTTTCTAACTGTTCTCTCTTGAGCATTTCAGTCCTTTCTCTTTTCAAATTTTTTTTCTCAATTTACATTCTACATGAATCTATAAACAGTTTTATTTTTTTTTCTCAATAAGCTATTGACCATCTATCTGTCTTTCTTTAATAATAAGCCTTAATAACTACTTATTACTAAGTAGTCAGAGTAACTACTTTTCAGTAGTGCCTCTACTGAATTATGCATTATTTAATGCCCTCAACTTTTATTGACATACAATACATAGAGAAAGCATTTGTTGCAAAACCATTGTAGAAGATGTTTCTGTCCTATTTTTTTGGTATCTGCTTCCTGTGGTATGTCTCATGAGCCAAAATTACCTTTTAAAATTTGGCATACTGAGAAAATTGATCTTAGAGACCTGATAATTTCTTTGATTCCTTAAATCTCTCTTAATTTGGACCAAATTTAATGACTAGCAACAATATCTGTTATTGCTTGTGGTTTATATGTTTGCTTCTCTTTTTCACAGTTTTTTTTTTTTTTCCTGTATTATAGGACATAGTCATACCCAGAAAGAGTGGGCACCCTTGTGATGTTAAAACTTTGGTTTGCATATGTAAAGTGAAGTGTGAGGATAATCCTGATTTTTATTCTACCTAGTCAGCTAGCCTCATATTCTCTTGTTCTGCCTGTAACTTTTCTGCATCAGTTGTTTCAGTAATCAGTGTATGTGACCAAATGTAGTATTTTCGTATATATGAAACACTCTGCAGATATCCAGATTAAGTGACAAGTTAATGTTATAAACTATTCAATGTAAGATCATAAATTACTATTGTAATAAACAATTGACTGTTTTGTTAAAGTGTTTTCTTTAAAATATTTCAGAGAAGAATATATAAAACAACAACTTGTGTACCCACGGAGTTAGGACAGATCATGGATGCTGAAACATTTGAGAAATCTCGACTGTATCAACTGGATAAAAGTACTTTCAGCTTCTGGTCAGGACTGTATTCAGAAGTTGAAGGCACTGTAAGTAATTTATGTCTTGGAGAGATGGTCTCTCAAATTATTTAATACTTTGCAATGTTCTCATTTTTGTATTTTTATGACACAAAAGAGGGTACTATTCCTACCAGTCTCACAGTGCTTTCCTAACCTTTATTGTTGCTATTTTTTACCCACTTGGGACACTTTTATGTCATAAGCATGATCTGATATTTATGATTTCAGTAGCTATCGAGATCTAATTCACATTTCATAAATTCACCATTTAAAATGCACAATTCGAGTGTTTTATTATAATTATACAAATAGTGTGATTCATTACAACATTCTTACACACCACACATAACATAATTTGGTAAATTTTTTTTGCCTAGTACCTTCTGTTTTCTCCTCTCCTCTCGCTCCTTGGCCCCCTTCTTTACTGTACTAGCCTCTCTTTTTTTCTGAGATTCTCCTTTTTTTTTTCCTCTTTTTTTCTAACTCCCATATATGAAAGGAAACATATGACTTTTGACTTTCTGAGTCTGGCTTATGTCACTTAACATGATGTCCTTAGATTCCAGGCATTTTCTTGCAAATGACATAATTTTGTTCTTTATAGCTGAATAAAACTCCATCGTGGGGCTGGGGTTGTGGCTTAGTGGTAGAGCGCTCCCCTAGCATGCATGAGGTTCTGGGTTCAATTCTCAGCACCACATAAAAATAAAATAAAGGTACTATGTTCACCTACAATTAAAAAATAAATAAACTCCAGGGGCTGGGGTTGTGGCTCATTGGTAGAGTGCTCGCCTAGCACATGCAAGGCCCTGGGTTCGATCCTCAGCACCACATAAAAGTAAATAAATTAAAAATAGAGGCATTGTGTCCAACTGCAAATAAAAAAACATTAAAAAAAAAACTCCATTGTGTATATATGTCATATTTTCTTTATGGACACTTACAATGGTTCCAACTTGGCTATTTTGAATTGCACTGCTAAATACATGGGTTTGCATGTATATCTATAATATGCTGACATTAATTCTTCTGGATAAATACTGAAGAGTGGGATAATTTTGTTATTGATAGTAATGGGTGTGGAATAAAAGAATCCGAAACATATCGGGCATGGTGGCACACACCTGTAATACCAGTAACTTGTGAGGCTGAGGCCAGAGCCAGAGAATCACAAGTTTGAGGCCAGTCTGGGCAACTTAGGGAGAACCCTGTCCCAAAATAAAAAAGAAAAAGGGCTGGGGATATTGGTCAGTGGTAGAGCCGCTCTGGTTTCGATCCCTAGTACTGCAAAAAAAAAAGAAAGAAAGAAAAAAAACGGCAGATACATAACTGCATAGTCAGTTGAAATATGATGATTTTCACCTGCAGGTCAGTTGTGACAAAGGACCTTACTATGTGTGTTAATCTTTTTGTTGTTGTGCTATGCTGGAGATTGAACCCATGGCTTTGTGCATGCAAGGCAAGCACTCTACCAACTGAGCTATATCCCTAGCCTGCCAAAGGAATCTTTCTGAAGCAGTTTTGATCTTGTTATTCTATATAAAATCTTTCAGGGGGCTGGGGATATAGCTCAGTTGGTAGAGTGCCTGCCTAGCATTCATAAGGCCCTGGGTTCAATCCCCCGCACCACCAAAAAAAAAAAAAAAAAAAAAAAAGTCTTTCAGTGGTTTGCTGTTTCCATTAGGATAAAGTACAAACTTCCTGACTTGGTTTATGAGGTCCTTTTCAATCTGGCCATAGAGTCTTTTTTTTTTTTTTTTTTGATAGTTTTTTAGTTGTCACTGAACCTTTATTTTGCTTATTTATATGTGGTGATGAGAATTGAACCTAGTGCCTCACACATGCTAGGTAACCCCAGCCCTGGCCACAGATCC